ATATATATATGTATATATATGAATATTATGCACACACAGCGAGCCTTACCGGTATGGATTCCATGCGTATGTTTGCACATCCGGGGCTTTTTGCCCGCGAATCTCCAATATAGGTATGGATTCATAGGTGTGGCGTTTATTGGCTTTGCTTTGCTTTGCTTGCTACCTCTTCTCGACAACACAAGCAAAAAGACAAGCAAACAACAACAATGCTGAACGCAGGCAGAATAAACTCTGAGCCCCTGGATCTGACTCGGCTTCCTGTACGATCCGATCATTCGGATACCAGTGTGAAGACCAACAACAGCCGCTACAGCCGCATGATTGACTTCCACGCTTTTCATCAACCGATACCTGTTGCTTTCATTCTGGCGAAGAATATCTCAGCCAGCATCGCAACCACTAAGTTGATCCAGGGAAGCCCGTACTGTCCTGGCTCATAGGGCTTGGAATGTTCCCGGATTCCGGGTTGCCCTGAAGCGATCGCGCATCGCTGCCAAGCTCGCTCGCCATGTCCTGAGACTTAAAAGACTTACGGCACCGGACCTTAGACTATATAGGCTCTAGTTAGCAGTGAAGACAAGGTGTAGACAGATTCTGCACAACGACGACGACGAAACCCACCTCGACTGGTACAAGTACAAGCTAGTCTAGTAGGGCTTGTTTTGCCCGTCGTTCTGCCACCACCACGACAACAACCAAGACGACGACTATACAGTACCATTATGGGGCTGTCGCTATGAGGAACCAAGCGAAGGAGCAGTGGCAGTTGTCGTCGCATCAAGAAAAACAAAATCAGCCAGACAACCCTAAACCCTAAACCCTAACCCCCCTAAACCAGCCAGGCATCCACATTTTTTGCAGCATTCGGCTCAGCCGGTGTCGTGTCCGACAAAACAGCAGCTGCCTGATCCGTGCGTAGCGCAGCTGCCGAGTCCGCGTCGGGCCCCTGCTCCGGAAAAGGTTGCAGAGTTTAAATAAAGTATATAATATGAAATAAAAAAATACAATTATATGATATATAACAATATGATATATAACAATATAATATAATATGATATCATAAAATACAAATTAATATACTATAATATAATATAATATAATATAATATAATATAATATAATATAATATAATATGAGAGCCCGGACTTTGTGCAAAACGAGATGAGAGATGTTTTCCCTCCCAGAAGACCAAAAATGAAAGGACGTCATAGCATACAAGCACATACGCATGCCTGCATGCCTACGTGCCTGCCTGCGTGCCTACCTGTGCCTACCCACATGCCTACATAAATCCTTATCCGTTTGCGGGGAGTC